ATTTATGTAAAGAAATCCGGGAAATTATGTGAAGGGAAGCAGGGAGGCGCGGGAGCCACCTAATTTCGAAAAACACCATTTTTTAAATTCACATAACTTTCTCATAATTCTTCATACTTTTTTTTGTGCTCATGGTCCTCCAACTACACAGCAAATTTGGTGCTATATCGTTACTTGTGCATTGAAAACGAGCCTATTTTGTTATTTTCCTCTTACAAGAATTGCGATTTGAATTCCCGCATGCGGGCAGGCTAGCGATCGGAGCCCAGAATCTTCACATTGCTGGAATCTAAGTTCATAGGACAGAAGAGCAGAGATGTGAAAGCGCCACCCCCGCTGGGCCCTGGTCGCAGATGCTACTGCACACGAGAAGTGATAAAAAACAATCAAGATTGAATGAAATTAGAGTGAGAAAAAAGAGACGCTGATATTTTATAGAGCTTTGAACCATTTTTGATAACTCATAGGGCACTGGGTAAGCGTCGATTTATGAGATTCTGCGTAGTAAACTAATCGTGGCTTAGCTGAGGCATGTTTAAATTGAACTTACGGCTCCTCAGAGCAGTTCAGTAGTGCCATCGTCTCAGTGCGGATCTCTCTGCAGACAATACCACCTGTGTGCTCTTGATATATAAAACGTGTTGTGCAGGTTCGGTCGACAAAATCACTACCTTACAAGGAAGAGGATAGTGGTTTAAAGGATACAGGTTCGAGACCGAATTGTGGCCTTCCTTTCGCTACGTCGGCGGGCAATCTCTGATAGCGGTCACTATCAAGATATAGGGAGATGAAACGAATTTACCTCATTGCAACACATACACCCGAAAAATTCACAAAGAAGTGAATAGAAGGATAAATATACATTCTTCTCAACTTAAGTGATTTACCGAAAATTTCGAGCAAGTGCAGTTTTGCGCCTTTCCTTGCATCATGTCAGTTTCTATGAATGCATGTTACTCACGAGCAATTCAGGGATTCCTCTGTAATTCTCCACTTCTGCACGCTCTCTTCATTAGTTCAACTTACTACTTAACTTCAACATACGGCCAAGCGGTAAATGGGTCGCGACACTGGACAGGACACGCTTCTGACTTCCCTTTTGCAAATGTGGGAGGGTAGATTCTAATTGGAAGTCAGTAGGTTCTGCGTTATCAATCTAGCTAATTACTAACATGGTTAGACTGAAAGGCGATTAGTTGCGTTCAAACAGTGATGTGCAGCTTCGAGCTAAGACAGTTCATGACAAACGCAGCAATTCTTTGCAGATTTTTTGCTCGTATAATTCTGGTCAGCGACATAATGGTATAAGACAATTCTGTGATGACACGGAATGAAGAAAGACTACAAAGAAACTTTACCGAATTCGAACTAGACCAATAACTTGCCTCTCTGTTTTTCTGAATGGATTACTATCAAACACCAAATCGCTTGAAATAATGAATTCAACCACACTCAACCTACTACGTTGCTTTTCATAGAACCAAATCTTTACAGGGATATTGTTTTCTCTAATTTATAAATGAAGGAATGTTGACATGTGACTATACAAATTTGCTGAATCTTCACTTTGAATTACAAGACCGCCTGGTGGTCGTAACTTAAACATTTGTTTATGCTCGTATTCAAAACCCTTTCTTTTTTCTCTTTCTCTGCTCATTTCGATCTGGATGCGGCTCCACAAAATTGTACCTTACACCTTATTTAGAGAATCTCACTCTCTTTATTTTGTGTTTCCAGTGCAGCATGTCCGCAACTTGTGCATTTTTGATCTTTTTCCTATAGAAAATAAATTTGAACAAATCCATTTTTTCCAGTTGTCCAAATAAAAACAAAAAGGAATGCAGTTGTTGCACCTTTACACAATCATTCACTTCATGTCTTCTCTTTGGACAGTATTCTCCGCTGGTTGGTTTTGTTTGACTTGAGCAGTTGTTGTCCGCACTTATAACTTTTTATTAGACTGCTGGAACTATCCTACTATCAGATCTAAAAAGCAGCATGAGAAGTTTGTTTCCGATTGCGCTGGGCAAAAGAAGCTTGGTTTCAAAGACGATGGTCCAAGTGTATTCAAAGCTTCATTCGTGTCAGAAAGCGAATTTAATAAGCTGTTTGGCAGAGCAGAGGAAATTCGATTAAGCATCTATATGCAAAACACAAATTTTGTGAAGCCAAGTTTAGAGCAACTGCAAAAGGTTCACGTGCGCGGTGAGGGAAAAGATTAGTCATTTGTACCAGTCCCTTTGTAAACTTTTTTTAGAAGGAGTACCATCCTTCCGCATTGAAAACAACGCCAACTTGGTCGACCTGAAAACACCAAAACAACCGATAAAAGCTATGCCAAATGGCAGTGTTGTCAGTGTATACTATTTCGCAAACGGACGAGGGAAGGACAGGCATGCTAACGGCAAGGAACCATTTGCTGAGATCCGCAAGCTATGCTCCGTAAAAAGCGGGTGCCACATTTACAAAGATACAGGTACTTTTTAAGTTTTTCATACCGATAAACCCCTATAACTGCTTTATTCACAAGAGGTTGCAAACATTTTGCATTCGGTCTGCCCTTTTTTGTAAACGAAGCCGCGAGCATATTCAACGTCGTGGGGAAGGACTTCTTCCATCTTGTTGTTTTGTTGTTTCCTTTCTAGAAGCTTGTGATACCGATTCCGGATACTACTCGATTGATTCGGTCAGCAGCGTGCGCGCCGAAACTTTCAAGCAAAATACCTGAAGTAGAAACAAATAGATACTTTTGAGATATTGCGTGCTGTATTGTATTGCACTTGTATTTCCTCTAACCTATGAGTTGAAATTATGTGGTTTGCAGTTTTCTGTATATCTATATCCTACCTACTTGTAATTGCATTGATTTATTCCAACTCTCCTCAAACCACGTTGAAGAAAAATACTGGAAATTCTTAGTGATTACTATCGGGATGGTAATTCAGTTTTGCAAATTTTTGATTTTTCCCCTCTTTCGATATGTCGTATACCAATTTTGCGATATTGTGTAGGGTCATGTAAGCTACAAGCTCAACTACTGTTGTGTTCTGAAAATCAAACCTCGGGGTTACGGTAGTTACATGTAAGAGGAAAAACTGTAAATTAGTATTGATTTGGAGACTGAAACTTGGCGTAGGGAATTATCTGACGTGCTGATCACGAAAACTATACTGAAATTACTTGACAGAGGTTTTTTGTAAAATTACCGTAGATACGGTATGGGGTTTTACCTGTATCAAACAAAATGAGTTAAAACAAAAGAATATGATATTTGTGTTTGGCAGGTCAAATAGCCCCGCTGTGCAAAGTCTCGGCAAATTCTAATACTGCAACTCTTCAGTCATTTACTGTGTCCTTAGCAGCCTTGCATACAGTGATTCATTCAACCTTGATTTGTGATTATCTATTTCTTTTTCAATGAGTCAAGTGATTCAACCTCTCTCAACACTTCATACAAAGTTTTGTATACAGGGTGTCCCAAAAAAATGTTTCGAACGTTTGATCGTTAATATCTCTCTTCCCAAGAAGTCTTTTGCCTTGCTTCAGGTACCGTTTTGTAGGCTGGCTTCAACTTAGATTTCCATTATAGAACGAATCACCCATCTCTCTTCATTACTGTAGGGTTACGGTAGAAACTTCAAAGAGGGTTTTGAATCATGAAAGGCCATATTTTGCCTCAGAAAGGAAACAAAACAGCCTGAAAACTTTTACACCAGGCTAATTAGAATTGCTGATTATAACTGTAAAGTTCCCAACTTATTATGATGCTTCATTGAAGAGTTATGCCAGGTGAGAGGTAGCGGCCTTTTTTTCAATGTTCCTAAAAAGTGCGATTACACCGTTTAAAAAACTTCGTAATCTTGTGAATGGTTGAGTATTGAACTCAGCGTCTATAAAACCCTATTACACAAGTTTTCACAATTTTTTGAAAAATTTTGAAACGGCAGCTTTTTCCACATTGACACCATATGTTTCAAGTTTCTACCGTAATCCTACAGTAATGAAGAAAGATGGGTGATTCGTTCTATAATGGAAATCTAAGTTGAAGCCAGCTCTACAAAACGGTGCCTGAAACAAGGCAAAAGACTTCTTGGGAAGAGAGATATTAACGATCAAACGTTCGAAACATTTTTTTGGGACACCCTGTATATCAAAGCGCATGGTCTAAATCGCAGATAGCTTCATTTTTGCTTATAACTCCACTTCTCGAGCAATGATTTCGAGAAATGCCTGAAATTTTCCCATCTCGGGTCCAGAAATCAAATACTTTGGCACACATTACAGTATGCTTGACTGTCAAAGTCTGAATGCACCAAATTCAGAGACAATAAAATTATGAAAGAAGTTGCGAAACTTAGTTTCCAACCTGAATCAAAAATTGACGTTTCAGAATGCAGTCGGATTGATAAAGAAATAACAGATTTCAACAAATTTGCTGACAAATGCGCCAATCAATCGGTGATTAAAGGAGCTCCAGGATTCAAACTCAAAATTGATTTGGCATCATTCACCTCGCAGCAGGTTTTGGCTTTGTTCTCAAAGGCTGAGCAGCTATTTGGCTGTTTCCGATCTGTAGGGGCCTATCACAGAAAGATAAAGTTTCCTCGTCTTAGACATATAGAAGCATGTGACGAAGGTTGTCCATTTCACGTTGATTTGAATTCTCTAGTCACTTCTTGCATTCAGGTGAAACCGCCCTTCTCCTGGAGAACAATCCATTTCTAGAGGAAGTAATATTTCCTTGCCATTTTACATCTGACAAGAGCTTGAGGATACGAGGGAACCACATTTTGAATGCAAGAAATATCATGTCTATGTGGACAGCCTGTCTTCAGTGTGATCTGCAAGATCCAGGAGGCAAGTGTCCAACTTGTTCTTAGGAAAGTAATGTTTGAAAAATGCGATTGATTTTTACAGAAGATCGCATCAAGATTGACAATGACATCAAAGAAGGTGGAACCTACTTCTCATCGTTGAATAAAGCGAATGAAAAATTTCAGTTTGCGAGAGCTTTCCAACTCCTAAAAATAAAAAAGATTATGTGCGCCTCGTCAATACCTGCAGTGGTGCAAAGAAACTGCTATTCAACACCAAAGCTTTGGAGTGCTTCGATGCTTCGTATCTACCCCAGTTCATGTTTGAAGAGCTGTTTAGGAAGGTTGAAGAGATTAATTTTGCTATTAATATCAAAAGGACAAAGTACACCCGCATATATCTTCCAAATCTAAAAATGTTCAACATTTCCGGTGAGCTTTGCTATGATCTTAAAGTAAGATTCACCAATTCCTAAACTCTTCGCATTCATACACTTACTAAGGGCCGCATGCATCAATATCCTCGCCAGGGAGGGGGTCGCAGCTTTAAAAAAGTTTCATATCTTGAAGCTCCAGAAATCTGAATTTCACGCTATCTAACTTTCCCACTATCCTTCACTATCGACTTACTGAACAGGAGTGAGAAGCAGTCCAAGCCACATGTTCCAGCTTCTTACATGATACCCTGATGAAGGGTATCATGCAAGAAGCTGGAAGCTGATGATCTTTTTCTTTTTTCGAATTTGACGAAAACATTCCAAAATTGCACCGATTATCTATCCCACCAGTGGTAAGCATAAGCATGTTGCTGATAAGAACAAATGATATTTTGAAATCATGAGATTTGCGATGAACCACGAGTCAAAAATTGGTGTCTATCGAAAAATTCCAAAAGCTCATTTGTCTTATCAGCAACATGCTTAGCACTGTTGGTTTAGATATCAGTACAACTTTGGAAGGTTTTCGCTAACTTCGAAGAAAGAAAAATGACTTTGAAGAAAAGACGGTCGGCCACCGGGGATTATCGGGGGATTATAAAAGGAAAAAGCGGCTTGTACAGCTTCTTGTCCCTGTTCAATATGTTCATAGTGAAGGATGATAAGGATACTTACGGATACGTTTTACGTCGTGACATCCAGGTGTTTGGAGCTACAGGAAACGAAGCTTTCTTTTAAAGGCAGTGGCTCGACAAATCCTCGACATATAGTTCTTCTTTGCTTACCTGGGGTGACTCGACGCGCTGATTCCGAAAAATACACCCTGAAGAGGGCGGAAATGGCAAAAACCAGCGTTTCCCAAGGCCCTTCATTTTGAATTGGATCAGTCGAACGCTTCTCGCCATGGTTAGAGACGTAGAGTCGTTGTGGGACCCTCATGTTTATAGCATTGCGGCATGCCTCCTCTGACGGTGTGAGGGATATCGTGGGCTTGTCGAGCGCATGTAAGAATGGCTTGCGCGCACGGGTTTAGGGGAAATTTTCTAGGCAGGGCTAGCATGCTGTGCGCTGGAACTTGCTCTGTTCTCATCTTTAGGGTGCAAGCAACCTTCCACATGAAAACGAGATGTTCGATTTTTCGAGCCACTGCCCAGGCGGAGATGTTAGTGCATGCGGCCCTAAGAGACACGAGCACGCTTTTAACAAGTTTATCAGTGTGTTCTAACGTGTTTTGGTAAATTATAATCAGGAATTCGTGAAAGAACATGTTCGAATTTGTCAAACAACGCAAGTCTGAACATGTTCTTTCTTGAATCCATAATGGCAATTCACCAATACGCGTTTAATCATGTGCTCAGCTTTTTAATTGGACGTACGCAAAGCGTGCTCGTATCTCTTAATCAAAGATTGAATGATATAAATATGTTGATTGCTGCATGAATATAATTTTTAAGAGGCCGGCTATCTATGCTTCTTAAGAAGGAAGTTTCAGAAAATGGAATGGTGCTAGAAGTCGAAGGAAACGCGGCGATGGAGCACCTCATTGCTCATTATGACATGCAAGTGCCACCTGATGTGCAGGGGACGGCTAAACTGGCGAAAAATCCTGTTCTGTCGAAGAGTTTTTGGCAGAGGTGGAATCGCACAGTTTGCAAATATTTTGATTGTCAATACGAATGAGGTCAAAGATGTGCTTCTATCTGAGAGATCTTTTCTTGTGCATAGTTTCAGGTCATTAAATCTTCTCAAATAGAAACGCTTGTGCATAGGCAAGTTGATAAACCATTTTTCACGTTGACGGAAACAGTCATTGAATGTCTGATTGGTCACAAAAAGATATTTAACTGTGTAGTTCCGTAAACGACCGTATGACTATTAGGGTGAACGGTAAAAAATGGGACACCTGGAGAATAAATGTAGACTTCTAAAGAAAGAGGAGTGATTGAGCTCTCCAGTTTTGACGGATGTTATAATATTGTTCTGTTTCAGACAACAACCCTATAAGATCATAAACTTACTTAATAGTTTTTTATTCTTGCTGAAATGCAAAGTCAGTTCTTCGACAAACTATAAATTTCGAGCAGCATTTGCGCAGTGAATCCTATATGTTATGAAGGGGATGTTCAAAAAACATTGGAGTTCTTCACGGCGCCAGGCGCAGGGTTGTGGGAGAGGAGCGCTAACGCGTACCAAAATAATAGGCGAAGGCCGGTTACGTAATGTACTTGGATCCGAATCGAATAGAAATTCGATCATTCGAATAAAACATTCGAATATATTCGAATTCGAAATTCGATATTCGGAGTTCTTCCATTTTCGAATAATATTCGAAACTCGAATAATTGAGTAGACGGGGTTTCGAATAAAACTCGAAAATCGAATAATCAAAAAACGGGGTTTCGAATAAAATTCGAAAACTCGAATAATCAAAAAACGGGGTTTCGAATAGATTTTATTCGAATGTTTTATTCGAATGTTTATTCGAATTCGTATTCTAATGAACTCCATATTCAAATTATTCGACTTTGCTGTAGAGCCATCTGCTGAGTATCAAGCTCACTTCGTCCGCGTTTTTTTCGCAAAACTCGGTAATGCAGCTTTTGCAACCGTTACGACCTTTGAACTGTATGGAGGGTCGCATTCTTGCGAGTGCTTGACAGTAAAAAATCATATCTGGATTTTAATTGATGCTTTTTCGATCAATGAGATTGTTCGCACTGCTATTGGCACCAGATCAGCAAAGAAGCTACTAAATTCAAGCTTATGTTCCGAGTTCATATATTGAAAGTGTTTTGAATGCCTGTCTTTCTTTCTTTGGATTGCTCATGCTTGTGGTACGCAAAGCCCACCTAGTGAGCACTCTTGCTCGCATAAGTTATACAGCACAACTGCTTCTATTCGCTACCTTTGAGTTTTATTGCGAATTGGTGTATTCTGGGTAAAGGACATCGCAGTTGTAGTGGACAATTAGACGATTTAGATCGCCGTACGCGATTTGCCAGTTACGAGATGTCTTCAAATGTAACGCCAGCTTACCACAAATGTTTAGCGACAACTTAATAAAAAGATAAATGCCGTGCATTCTGTACTTTTAGAATAAGTTTTGGACATGACTATTGCCAAACCACGTTGCCACTTAAATGCCTGCAGTATGCCCAGGGCTAGCGGCAATCGTGCTCGCTTCGCGGGATAAACCACATGCCTTCGTCCACGATTGCCACACAAGACGAAGTCTCCAATGAACAGGCAATGTATCGTAACATTTGTGGCATTTAAGTACATATGTGGCCACCGTTGTTGCGGGGCTGGGAGTTGGTGCAAGGGGGTAAGTGAGGGCGCTGATTATGGATAAATATTTACTTTATCGATTTTGTCGATTTCTTGAAGATTTTCAGCTGCGAGGTTGGGAGTTGGTACAGGGGGGGGGGGTAAATGAGGATGCTGATTGACACCGGAATCTATTAGGCTGATGCAAAAATAATGAGCGTTTTCCTAGAACTTTTTTCAGAGCAACTTTTCTCCATCAAACTTCTTTCTTCGAAACGGTTTCAGCAAAATATTAGAAAGCTTTTCCTATGCACTATCTAATGCTTTTCAAAAGGGAGATCCGGTACGCGGCAAACGTTAAGGGACACGTTAGCCGTGGAGCGCGCCAGCGCAATTGTTGGCCATAGTTGGGAAGACAGCTAAAGTTGGCCCATTTTTGACCTTCTTTATCAGGAAACCGTCGCTGATGTTCGATAATCGATAACGCGAAATCAAAGAAACAGTTAAGTCAAAAACCGGCACATTAGTTGATCCAAAAGACGAAAGTAGCGGATTTTGCTGAAGCTTCGTCTAGAGGAGTTATTTTGCACGCTGATTACGAACACCACACTTGTTTCGCACCGTAGCGCCATCTGGTGGTGTTATGGTAGGATTACGGTGGGGGTCAAAATCACGGATTTGCACCAAACTTCGTCTAGGGTGGTTATATGGCACGATAAACCTGAAATTTATAGTGATTTCGCACAGTACCATTTTCTCGGGTACGCCACATTCGTTGGCATTTCCAGACGTTGCATCATCTTTAGGAATAAGAGGAGTAGACTGAGCGAGCACATTTTCAGGTAGGACAGGTGTCATGTTTACGACTGAAGCACTCAGGACGTATCATTTCAAGAGACGACATTTGGAAATTTACCTCAACTAGAATTTTGCGGCTGCTCTGTAGATGCGCCTAGGTAGCGCGACAGCATATCCGCGCTTGCCTGAACTCGAAACTCTTAGAACTTTTTATGACTATCTCAGCTGACATCATACTTCGAGATTTTGAAGTGTTTCGGATCGCTTTTGTCAAAAATTTCCAAGCCACGTCCATACTGCAATCCTCCCTCATGCATGATTATTGCCGATATGTCATTTGTTGATGAAGTGTAATTCCGAATATTACAGAGATAAACCACATCGGTAACCTGGAAGCACTTATATACGATACAGATATGGAAGTTCTGTTGGAAATTTTACACGTTAGCCCTAGTGTGAGAATGACTCTATTTGCTCAAAGTTCTTTGTCTGTGCTATGGCTCTATCGCACACCAAAATGTTACAGTTACGGGACTTCAAGTAAAGGAAATGGAAAATTAGAATACGTCTACTCCGCTCAGTGAGGTCATCTGCAGCTTGCAGCGTTGAACATACCTGAACAGACGATGCCTTCTTCGTCCAATCACCGCAACAGCATACGTCGATAAGGCTAGTTTCGATCATGAAGTGGAGCTGTGGAGAGATCTCACAATAAATTGTGTCGATAGAGTCCTTATCTGCGTGGATACTTCGATATGATGGAAATCTAAACATGTGCAGAACACTACGTGTTTGTTAGTGACAAATGACCTACTTTGACGTTGTTCCATCCCAAACTCTTAGAAAGATGTGAATGGTTCTCCTTTGCCTTTATATACACCAAGGACCTATAAATCTCACCATACCCATTTCATTTAGCGTAATATAAACAACTGACCTGAGCATACCAACTGAAAATTTTTGCCAAGCTTGGGGATGTCTAGAGCATCGCAATGTTGTCAGAAGCTTGCAACTTCTTTTTGGTAGACGGTCTATATGTTATGGCAACTGCGATAACTTAGAAAAGTAGTTGAAACTTACCTGCTTGACGTTGACTCAATAACTACGGGCTCATCTATCATTCTACTAACAGGAATGTCCTCGCCTAATTCTCTCTCCTGTATTGCCCGTGCAGATGCTCCTGCCTCATGACTTCAGCTGTCTTGCCAACTACGGCCAATGATTGCGCTGGCGCGCTCCACGGCTAACGTGTCCCTCAACGTTTGCCGCGTACCGGATCTCTTCAAAAGGGACTTCTAGCCCACTCTGTTAAGAATTTATAGAGCTTCAAAAAATCGCACTCAACACCAGATTTTCGTTGCATTCACTTTTCTGGCCAAAATTTAAGCGCAAATGAAGGTGCTTTTTCGAAAATTTAGCCGCTATATGTAGTGGAAATTGTCTACATATGCGTACTTAACCATATTTTTTGGAGTTATCTAAAGTGAGATACCGGCGGCTTAACATGGGTAATGGTTGTGGTCATTTTAGAGCTTATAACTTTCTTTGGTTGAGTGCGTCGCTCAAACTTTGCTCATCTCCGTAAGCGCGAGGATAGGGCATCCTGTTGACAGTTTCAGCAAAGACATTTAGCTGTTCAGTACGCAGAAAATTAGAAAATTTTATACCCCGGGATTTTGAGGCTTACTGAAAAAATGCTGAAAAAGTTGATATTTTGAAATTTCGATTTTTCCCTCTTCGCTAATCCTTTTTCTCCAAACCCTTTTCATGTAATTTGTACTATTGACTTGCGGCTACAAGATAGGCTGCTTATAAATTATAATAACAAAGTGTGAAAGAAGTTATGTTTCGTCAAAAGCAAGACTTCAGAAAAAAACTTTTTTTGTTCTACATCCATATTTCTCTGCCCATATGAGATATGAGTATAGATTAAGGTGCGCTGTATTGCGAAAGGTTCGCTGCATCTGGTAGTTTTTATCACATTTCAATATGTAGGTTTTATAGAAAGTTAAAGCAAGTTAAAGTGGAAAATGGAAAAAAGCTCATTATTTTTGCATCAACCTAATATTTTATCGATTTCAGCGATTTTCGGAAAATTTTGAGCTAGGAGTTGGTATAGGGGATACGAGGGTGCTGATTATGAATGGATCGGCTTCAGTCAGATATGTCAGCAAGTTTGAGATATGGTTGCTCTAGTTATTCGATAAATCATTCGAATATTTATTCGAAATTCGGCTCCCAATGTTCGAATATAATCGATATTCATTCATTCGATATTTTTTAATTTCCGAATTTATTCGGAATTCATTCATTCGAGAATTTTTGAACCTCGAATTTATTCGATATTCGTTTATTCGAGATTTTTTATTTTCGAATTTATTCGACATTCGTTTATTCGAAATTTTCCTTTTCGAATTCATTCGATATTCATTCATTCGATGAAAAATTTTCGAATTACCCAAGTATGTTATGTAAGCGACGTCTAACTTGCAGCCTACTTGCCCTTGATCGAAACAAAAATCTCAAAATGTAATAAAAATCAAGCTGTCCCATTTTTTGCCGTTCATCCTAATACCCCATTCGACCGTAGCGATGCCATAAACTACATATTTTGACTTGAAGATTTGTCGGCCGCATGGCTTACTGCTGATCTATGAAAATCACCACACATCCAGATTGTTTTGAAGCAGTGCAAGAGTCTAAAAG